GAAACTAAGTAACGCTTAAAATCGGGAGAATAACAACGATAACCCTTTTGAAGACGAGAATAACCAAGAAAAATACATTTAAAAGCTTTGGATGTTAACTTATCCTTACCAGGGGTGAGATCATGAACAAAACAGGTACAACCAAAGACATGTGGGGATAGAGGGTAGAGAGGAACATCTGGAAGCAATAAATTATAAGGAACGTCATTATCAAGCACTGATGAAGACATCCGGTTGATGAGAAAAGAAGAGGCAAGGACTGCATCTGCCCAGAAGTGAAGAGGAACACGCATGTGTGTAAGAAGAGTCCGTGCAGTCTCAATGATATGTCTATTCTTACGTTCAGCTACTCCATTTTGCTGTGGAGTGTGAGGACAAGTAGTTTGGTGTAAAGTACCCTGTTTGGCTAAGAAATTAAAAAAGTCCACAGAAACATATTCCTTGGCATTATCACTACGGAAAATACGAATAGAGGCACCAAATTGAGTATGAATTTCAGCAGAAATTTTTTGATAAATAGAAAACAACTCAGAACGGTTTTTCATTAAATAAATCCAAGTACAACGTGAAAAATCATCAATAAAGGTAACAAAATACCGAAACCCTAAAACAATCACACTACGACTAGGACCCCAAATATCTGAATGAATAATTGAAAAGGGAGCATCAGCTCGTTTATTGACTCGATTAGCAAAGGAGGAGCGCATGTGCTTTCCTTGCTGACATGACTGACAATCTAAAGTCTGAAGACCGGACAAAAGGGGAACCATCTTCTGTAATTTTGAAAGACTAGGATACCCGAGGCGACTGTGGATGAGTTGTGGAGATTCTGTGGGAGAACAAGCAACAGAAGGACTCGGAACAACCAGATAGAACAGACCCCGTGACTCACGGCCCACTCCAATCGTCTTCCCCGTACTCGGGTTCTGCATAGAAATAGAATGATTTGAGAAGGTGACAATACAGTTAAGAGAGTTGATCAATTTACTAACAGATATTAAATTGTAAGGGATGTTAGGAATGTAATAGACAGATGTCAAGGTCAATGAGGAGGTTGGACAGATTTGTCCAATCCCATGAACGAGAGTCTTAGTGCCATCAGCAAGGGTAAAAGAGGGTAAATTATCAGAATATGTAAGGGATGAAAAGAGTTCCTTATTACCACAGAGGTGATCAGTAGCACCTGAGTCAAATATCCAAGGACCAAGTGATGCAGAATGAGAAACACAAGCAACGAGATTACTAGTTTTTGAAGCAGAGGCCTGAGATTGAGGAGAGGCCTTCCTGAGAAGGGTCTGGAGTGTTGCATGGTCTTCAGAGGAGAGAGAGACTGTACCATTTGAAGCAGTATCCGATTGAGCTATATTAGCAGCAAAAGAAGGTCGCAGATGAGGATACTTTGTGTAGCAACGTTCCTCATAATGACCAAGTTGCTGACAGTAATGACAACGAGGTCGCTGACCACGTCCTCCTGGGCCATGTCCTCCCGGGCCTCTACCACGACCACGTCCACCTCCAATGTTCCCGCGAAAGTCAGTACGGGAAACTAGAGCAGTAGAATCAACAGCAGAAGACGATGCAGGAGTAGATTTCTTATTCAGATTTAGAAGACGCTGATATGTCATTGATAGTTCAGGCTCCCACTAGTCAAGATAGTATCCCGGACATTATCATATTCTTCGGGGAGGCCAGACAGTGTGGCAACCATAAAGAGACGTTCCACCTGTTTTCGATATGCAGAAGCATCAGTAAGGTAAGACAACATATCCAAATATGCCTGCATCAAAGATCGACTCTTGCCAACATATGTCTCCATCTGAATGTCGGATGATTTGCTCAGTTCCATAAACTGAGAGATGATGAAATAGAGCTGCTGAACATCATTAGTGTAGAGGTTTTTTGCTTCCTCCCACACTTTAGTGCAAGTTTGAAACGAATAGAAGATGTCCAAGACGACTGGATCAATAGATTGCCAGAGGATACTCAGAAGCGGGTTGTCAATCTTTTCCCAGTCAGACTTTTCCTCCTTAGGGACATCAGTAGACTTAGTCGTGAGATGGTTCCCATGTCCTTGTCCAAAGAACCTAACTCGAACAGAGGTGACCCAGTTCTTGTAATTAACAGAACCCTTCAATTTTGAAGAGGTAATGGACCCAACATTGGTAGAGATGATATTGGGAGAATTTTTGACATGAGGAGGTGGAGAACTGACCTCCGAATGAACAGGAGAATTTGCTGCCATAATATGAAATCACAAGGATATAAATCGAGTAAATAGGAACGAACCTGATCACTGATCAAGAAGAGGCGCGCACAAAAAGTCAAACCCACAGAGAAACAACCACAGATCTAGAAAGAGGAGGAGAAGGCGAGCTTCTCTGTCCAAGACCGACCAAAAAAAGCTGCCCGAATAGTGCACACGCGCCGGCAGAAGGTAGCACGTGAGGCCCATGCGCAGAGGAGATGGACGGCGCGTGAGGGCGCGTGGGAACTCCGATGGTGGCCGGACTGCCACAGAGTTGGTCGCCGGGAGGGGAGAGGGTGCTGATCGTCCGTGCTGAAAACTCGCCGGAAAAGTTCTCCGGCGGCCTGAACAGTGGCGGACGGTGGTTCCGGTGACCGTCGGAGGTGCTGACGCGTTCAGAAATTGATCAGAAGGGACTTACAGTCCTTGATGGCTTGCCGGAAGGATGCACGACAAAGAAAAGATGACTCCTAAGCAGTGGGCTTAGGTTTTAAAGCGAAAACAAGGTTTCTAAGCGGAAGCGAGGGTCCCCAGAACAACAGAGCTCTGATACCAACTTGAATATAAAATAATATGTTGTGTATTGATCTAATTCAGAGAGTTACAATATATCTAAACCCTAATGGGCTTAAGTGAAAGGCCCAGACCTAATACAATCAGAATATTTACAGATAGGAAGTAATCCAATCATATCTAATATATTCTAACAATATGGAACTTGATATTTTCTTTGTCCGTGAATGTGTTATCAATAAAGAATTGATGGTGCCTCATATTCCATCTTTTGATCAAGTTGCTGACACACTTACCAAGGCTTTGACTCCTGCTTGGTTTGCTGAATTGGGATCCAAACTCAAGTCTTGGATAGCTCCCTTTGCACATCCAAGCCTTTTTGAGTTTGCGGGAGGGTATTAGTGATATAGCTCACTTAGCTTTAGTTTTAGCTTTGCTAATGTTACTATACTTTTGTTACTATATTTCTGTATGTATCAGATAGCTTCTAGTCTTTCTGTTTTGTATTCTGTTAGTTTGTTGGGTGTTTGTTATTTGCTAACTCAGATTTGAGTCCTTACATTGCTCTATAAATAGAGCCCTCATGTATTAGTTTCATGATCTGAATATACAATGAATTCAATGGCTCCCTCTCCAATCTTTTCTCTCATCTCGTTCTTACCAAACTCTGATAGTTTATCAATAGTGTCGCTATTGCACTACTATAGCGCGTTGCGGCACCCAGCCAAGTAGTGGTGTTATTGTGGCGCTATAGGGAAAGGATGTAAGATTCCAATTTTGCCCTTAAGAAAGGATGTAAGATTCCAATTTTGCCCTTAATTTAAAGTGCCAACCTTAATATTTTAGGGTTAAATCATCTTTTAGCCCTATTTTTATTTTGAAACTCTCTACCCACTCTCTCTATGCATCGACCTAAACCTCTCTTTCTTTCTCGTCTCTCTGCGACCAGAGACTAGAGACAAGCTTCCGTTTCCGGCGACTAGAGACTAGCTTCCGTTTCCGGCGAATAGAGACCCCCCATTCCATACATTTTGGGTGGGTTAAGAGTGAGGTTTGTTTTAGTGGGTTTTGTGACATTGTTTATTTGTCTTGGATTCTCTGGCTCAATTAAAAGATGAACCGATTTATAGCATCTTTGGGTTCTCTGATAGTGTTTGTTTGCCTTTAGTTTAAAGGTTTAATTATATGTATCGGACTTTGCTATGGCATGCTGCTTCTACCGACTCTAATGTAATAGTATTTTTTGTGGTTGGCCGCTACCCTCATTTGATAACTATGAACTTATTTAGCTCAAGCAATTACTTCAAGAGCTAAGATTTGGGGAGGTTACACAAATCATACTTATGATAATCAAGCTATATTTTATATTGCCTTGTAATCCAGTGTTTTACGAGGGAGCCAAATACATTGAGATAATTTGCCATTTCATTAGACAAAGACCTTATATTGGAGACTTTACTACTCGTTAATTCAAATGACCAGTTGGAATATGTTTTTACAAAGTTTTTTACATGTACTTGGGTAAGTTACATATGTATTAAGTTGGGTGCAGAAGATCTATATGATTCACATTGAAGGGGAGAGTTGGAAAATATGTAAATAATGTCTACATTCATTGTATAGACTAAGTGTCTAGATGCATTGTATAGGCTAACTAAATTTCCTAATTACGGTAATTAGGATATTCATGATCAGTGTAATTATTACTTTTTTGTCTATATAATTTAGCCTCTGATATGTAGTTAAAATACATATTTCATCAAATGTCACTTGTTTTCTGTTCCTGTGATAGTCTTCACAGCTTATCACTAAATCAATCAAAAAATAATAATTAGGTGGTTCTTTAGCACCTCATAAGAAGAGTTTAAATTTTCTCTCCACGGCCATGTAACATAATTAGCAAGTATCATGAGTATTACATGAATATTTTTAAATTAAAGTAAATTTTAAAAATTAGAAATTAAAAGAGAAAAATATTTAAGAGTAAAAGAGTTGATAGATTAATTTAGATAAAATCTAAAGAGTATAGATTAAGAAAGAATATTTTTTTAAATTATAAGAAAAAAATATGCATAATTAATTTGAAAAAGAATAATTTAAAATTTCAAAGAAAAGTTCAGTTTTTGTTTTTTGTTTTTTTAAGAAAGAGTATATTATTGGTTGGATGGATGTATGAAGTTTTTCTTCGGTATCAATTGATTCTCCATGTGCTACACAAGTTGATAGTTTGATTGTTTTGCAGGTTGCACGAGGCCAGATTGAGAAAGCAGCTGCTTTCAGGAAGCCGCTTAACCAAACAGCAAAAGCCACACTTCCATCAGTTCAACTAAACAGCACCACTTCTCAGCCTACTTTTACCCCACCTTTTATATCATTTGCTCCTTTTCAAACTACTGAAGACGATAACAAGAAGGCAGTAGCTGCTGCTGTTGCTGCTAAGCTTGCTGCCTCTACATCCTCTGCTCAAATGCTTACATCTGTTCTTTCTTCTCTTGTAGCTGAGGAAGCTGCCTCCATGAATGGTTCCTTAAATTCTACGGGATTTGCAACGGAATCACCTATTTTTAACCCAGAGAAAAGGCCCAAACTTGAAAAACCAACGCCTGTTTCTGATGTTAATAGTTCTGATATGGCGAGCTCTTCCTTTTATGCCTCTTTACAACAGCCATCATTGGCAAATGTGCCACTTGCACCATCAGCCAGCTTGCTAACCATGTCTCAAGCCAATCAATTACAAGCTGCATTTGCTTCACCACCCCTACCTCCGCCTCATTCTTCAGCAAATCAACCATCAAACCAATATGTCCAATCAACTGGTTTGATGATTGGGGGAAGTCCTTATGGATACGGATCAAATAACTTACCACCTCCACCTCCTTTGCCTCCACATGTGGCAATAGGATTATCAATGCCCACCTCTCAATCAGCACAGCAGCAACAGCAGTCATCACCAGGAGGATTTTACAGGCCACCTGGCATAGGGTTTTATGGGCAAAGCCACCCATCAACACCACCACCATTACCTAGGCAGCGAGCATTATTTGAAGACCATCAGCCATAGTTGCTCCAAAACCTTTGTAACAAGTTCCTCTGGGAAATTGCTGTAGGCTGTGTAATAGTGTAAAATATCAGAAAATTAGATGTGGCCAGAATTCATCTGTAAGTCTTGTATACCCCTGCCTTTTTTTCGTTTGCCTACTGCTTTAATTTTGAGTGGTAGGCTTTGACAAAATACATACCCCTTTTTCTTTATTTTTCTCCATAACAAGGCATATATATAAGTTATGTTCGACATTCGCTTATGTATAACATTACTTATGTATTATGCCTTATTATGAAAAAAATGAAGACGGTGCCAGAAACAATGAGGTATGCTTTTAGAGATACTTGAGATCTACTTCACCAGTGTCAACTATTGTTAAGAAGAAAGAACCTTTTGGGACCTTTACAAATTGTTGTGAAACATCACAATGCCCTTGTTATGGTGTATGTGGACCTCTTTTGTTTGCATGAAGCTGCCTATGAGGATAAACATTATCAGCTGATATCATTCACATCTAGATGACTTTTCTGAGCTTCACCATGCTCATAGTATGCTGTCCTAGGAGGTTGCAACTTGATGTAGATTAATATCAATGTACAGGGTGTTGATACTTTTTGTTGCCTACTAGTTTCCGGATGGTGCATGTTAGGGTCTTTTATTATTATTATATTATTATTTTTAGAAACAATTAGGGTCTTTATTTATGTATGCAAAAGCGTTTAGATCCTTGAGGTTCGGTTGGACAAGCGACTAAACTCCAAGACACAATACATTTGTTTAGCTCTCCATGAACGCCCTTAGCATATGCAAAGGGGTTTCCGTCGAAGCGATTGTAAATTCAAAGCTTTACAAAGTATTATGCCAATCACAACTCTGGCTTTAAAAGCAACATGAATGCTCTGCTTTATCTTAAGTTGAAAAAAATAGAGGCATGTTTTTGTTGGGTTCTAGTGGCCCTAAAATATGATTGAGGACTAATTTTGTTTCGCAATAATCAAAAAAATCACGAAGCATGTTCAACAAGAAAGTAAACTAAAAAAATTAGTTCTTTGCAATTAATTCATTTAAGGTTAAGTTTTATTAAAAGCCTTAATTATCCAACTCAAGAAAATAGAAATTATAATCTAGCTGAGTTAAACCCCACAAAGCGGAGAAGAGCTTTTATCATTTTCAATTAAAATGTTAAAATCTATCTTTAACACTTCTCTGCAAGTTGTGTGTATTGCTTGTAGTTCAAATTGTAAATGTTAGTAGGATATAAGCTGAAAAATAATTTTTTTTGGGGGTGAGATATTCCAATTGGTTTATCGCTTCGTGATTAATCTGATTCGGGACGGGTCTCGGGATTGAGGCTTTAAACCCTTCCTAAGGATGATACTGAAAATGATCGAATACATAATCTCACTCCCACTTGTTTAGTTCTATGACACCAACTAAGCTACCATTATTTAGTAACTAAGTTACCATTATTTAGTGAAATATACCGTGTCAACTCAATAGTTTTTGAAACATTGCTTTCAACTATCTCGATATACAATTATTATATTATAAATAACAGAAGTCACTTAGTTGAGAAATAATTGTTTTAGAAAGTGACAAATAACAAGTATGCTTTTATTTAAACTTCCAAAAAGAAAGCATTTTTATGACACAATTTTTTTAATCTTCTTTAGAAGCTATTTTTTTTTTAGCTTCTGTAAAAAAAGAAATTAATTAATTTTTTTTTGAAGTTTTTATGTTGTTCGAAAAGCTTATTTACTTAGTATAAAAATTTTCAAACATTTTTTTAACTTTTTAAAAAAAAATACTTTTTTCTCATAAAAAAAAAAAGCTAAATAAACTCCCTAAGGCCTAACCCCCTTTGAATTGACTAATTTGAATATACTAAATTCCTTTATAACTCTCTTATACACACAAAAAGGGATTGGGTCCCACCATTCTTTTTTCTTTCTCATCTTACTTGTGGATCCCACTTATACTTTTGTTTCAACAACATGAGATAGTTTTTTTCCTATGACATAACAAAAATATATCCTATATATATATATTATCTGCTTTTGTCAACGGCTTTTCTTAACATCGAGTTGCGATTTGCTGTGTTAGAAGCTATCCTTAGTTTGCACACCACAGTACGCGTTTGAGCTGTTCAAGCTAAAATACTGTTGATTTGGTAACACAACACAACACAACACAAAAACATCTAAATTTTCTTTTCATTTTTTTATTTATTGTATTTTTTTCTTATCAAGCACGAAAAGCAACAGCAATAGAGCTAAGCAACCTTTTATTTATTTATAAAACCCCCATTTTTTTTGGTTATTTTTCATTTCCATTCAAATATTCCTTACCCTCCTTCAAATTCAGGTTTTATTAAGAATCCCCCAATTCTGTTTATTCGCATTTCAAATTATTCGGTTCGGTATCGATCGCAAGCAAAACGGGGCCTTTTTTTTTGTTTAAATCGGTAAATTGGTCATCTTTAGGGTTTATGTAATTTGTATTTTTAGTTGATTAATGTGCGTTATTTTCGTTGTCTTGGTTGTTGTTGTTGTTCTTGTTGTGTCCATATTGAAATTCAGTTCTATTAGTTTCACATGTTAGTTTTACTGTTCAATTAGTTGAGTAATCTGGTGCCCCTTTCTTTTGGGGTTAGCGAAATTAGAGGGAATAAGCCCTTTTGTCAACATCTGAAATGGATTAAGATAATGCTTGCTACGTTGGTTATTGAAAATAATGGAGTACTAGCTGGAGTGATGCATGAAAAGAATTGATTTTTTTGTTTTAGAAATTGACATTTTCTTGAACTTGATGGTTCGGTTCTGGGCTCTTAGAAATTGTCCCTTTTTGTTTGACTTGTAGGCTGACCTATAGTAAAGAATCATATTAATGTCTTCAAGAACATTGAGGAGAAGACTCCATCATGGGGATGTTGATGGCAAAAGGCAGGAGCATTACGATACTTCGGGATTAGATTCTCTGAGTGAGCCCTTGCTGGATGATGATGATTATATTGAGAGTAATAAGGTCAGAAACTGTGTTTATCTTATTTATTTTGTGTGAGTGTGTGCCAAGTATGAATTTGGTACCGGTACTTATTGTGTACACATAGTTACGGATCCAATACTCACTTATCAATCAAGTACAAACACCATGTTTTGTTGCTAAGTTGAGTGAAAACATTATGAAAATTGTATTTTTAATTATGATATGATTTTAATGCTTTATTGTCTATGTTTTTATGTTTCTATTTGATATATCCTCCTGTACCCATATCTTAGTTCTTATAAATTTTATTGTATGCCCATAAGAACTCATCTGTATCCATGTAACACAACTTTTTGTGAAGCTATATTTTTTCTGTGTCTTGCAGACATGTACGCTTGAAGATATATGGGATGATGAGAGGAAGAAGGCACAGGTTCATTGGACATTCTTATTTTCAAACCTCATTGAGCAATGGGCACAGTGGTTAGGTATGTGTATGATTGTGTTGGCTTGCCTCTCAGATACAATTAAGCTTGATAGTATGAGTAATTCAGCAGTAGGTTGTTTCACTTTTGTTAATGCCTGACCGTATGTCTATCATGCGTGTTTTCATTAACAACTAATTTGATGTTCTATTTATCTTTTCTTGTTAGGAAGATATCTTCTCCCAGGCATATTCTGACTGTCACATTTGTTTTCCTTACAATTTATTTTTCCTTTTTCATTTCTCAGAGGAAGCCCTGCATTTACTGCTAAAGCTGATTTCACACATTCTGTGCTAGGTTGACTTTGCATAAATAAGCTTTTCTATTGTAACTTGTAAGTATTAGTTCACTGAACTGATGGAGGGAGGTCATAATAGGCTAGGAATTTAAGTTAGGGGCACAATCACATCGCGGCTGGTGTAGTTTTACGTATTAGGTTTGAAATCTTATAAACTGTAAAGAAAGAAGAAAGGAAGCATTGCTTGGAATGTGTAGTATACATGAACTTACTATCAGTGGGATTATTTATATTATTCATTTCTAAGAGCCTCATTTATGGTGCTTGGAAAAAATATAGACCTATACTAGAAAATAGTAAATGTCAGGGTTTTTTGTATGTTTCATTTGTACCTTTTGCACTCTGCTGACTGGTATACGAATAAGAAGACAATTGTGCAGCATGTCATGATTTTAGTGGTGGTTATGTGACCTCTTAACCAATTATTGCATATTGTCTATGCAGCAAACCTTGTACTAGGATCTGGATCTCTTATTGGGCGTCTTTTGTCTTTTCCTTCTACTGCTCTAAATGGTCAAAACAATAAGATGCTTCCTCCATCTCTTAACCCTCTGCAGGTATGTCACTAAGTCTAGTGCTATTTTATTTTGAAATCTCATGTGCTTGTTTTGGCCAAAATCAAGTAACCAACTTCTACTTCAATCCTTTAGCAAATAAATTCATATGATTTTAATTTTGGATGTTCTATCCAAACGCCAAAAGTTTGTAATCTCTAACTGAAAATACAGTTGATCTAAATTTTGAATATGGAAGGCATTTCTGAGCAAACCTTTTGGATCAATGTCCACTAAACCCCCTAACTTAACCATCCCTCATCGTTTGAGAATAAAATGATGCCAAGGAAATTCTGATAATAAAATCAATTATGTGATAGGATATTATCACTATATTTAGTTTTATATTGCCACGCAATGTCTTGAATGTCTGCTGGTGTTGTGTTTATAAGGCATAGGGGCAGTGGATATTTCTTTGGAACTTGACAGTGTGTTTTGGTTGAATTATAAATTGAAAATTTTCACTTGGAAAAGACAAATCCTTGAGATTTGAAAAACCTATTCTCCCTTTTTAATTAATGTATAATCAAACATCTGATTTATTGAGATTGTGGTTCCTTTGCTGAGCTAGTTAGTCTTTGATGGGCCCCATCTGTCTTTCTCGTTGTTATGATTATTGTGGAGTCTCTCTCTCTCTCTCTCTCTCTCTTAAAAAATATATTATGTTATATAATGCCATCTTATGGTTTAGAGCTTCATACTGTCTTCTTGCTGCTTGTTACTATGGATAATCTGTTACTTGTGGTTGTCTAACATTTATTTATTTCTTAGGAAGAAAGACTAAGAAACTTACAGCAACGGCTTGAAGTCCCCTTTGATGGCTCTAAAACAGAGCACCAAGTATGTATTAATGCATTTTTTTTCCATATCACTTTACTGACATTTGTCACTATATCCTGCAATCTGTTTGTTCTATTTTTCACTTGTTCTGATCTTGTTGTTGTCTTCATGTGCATACACCTTTGTTATGTTGATGTTCTATGTTGCTCTGTATGCATGCCTGGTAGACAATCTGAATGTTTTTTATCTGGAATGTGGGCATGGTATTTGCTTGACTTTCAAATGCTTGTTTATGGGGATAGATAAACAATTTTTAAGTTGAGATGCCTCAAATGGATGAATCAAAACGTGGCCAAGCACAATCATGTCTATTTAGTGCACTGCAGAGGTATCTAAATTGTTTTATTGAAATTAGGATCATATTTTCAAATCTATTTTTTTGGTTGCAGGATGCTCTTAAACAATTGTGGAAATTGGCTTACCCTGACAGGGAGCTTCCCTCACTTAAATCAGATCTTTGGAAGGAAATGGGATGGCAAGGTTCAGATCCTTCAACAGATTTTAGGTGTGTGATCAAAGCAATATATTGCACTTTAAGGAGAGGGGTGGGGCATGAGTATGGATAGGGTTTTATTCTGCAACAGGTCAAAGAACCAATATTAGCTGAGGCCATTAAGGCTTCATTGGCTTAATAATAGGAGGTGACAGAGAATATTCTGACCCTCTTATCTGCCCTCTGTTGATTGCCATACTCGTGGACTAACATTTGTCCACATAGTTTAGACTTACAGATGCTTTAATAGTTTGCTTTTGGATTTTGAGGTGTTGTTTCTTGTGTACTTTTGGAATTAATAGGTTACACTCCCTTGGCATTTTCTTATTAGAATACACTTTTTCCTAATCTTTCGGTTTTAGTGCAGCAACTAGCAAAAAAAGAATAAAACAACTTTGTTGTATTGAACACAGTTCTTTCCTGGAATAAAAATGTTGAACAGCATGTGCCAATCAATCATTTTCTATGAAAATATTTTGTTCAGAAAGTTTCTCCAAGGACAACATTTTTTTTTGACAAGATATTTCTCAATCATACACTTGATCTTCAGATAAAAGTTTCATTAAACTCTGTAATTTTTATGCAGTCAACTGTACCCTTTTTTTCCTGGTATTATGAATGAGTTAATATGAACTATCTAACCATGATCTGCAGGGGTGGAGGATTTATATCATTAGAGAATCTCATCTTTTTTGCACTGAAATATCCAGTAAGTTTCTTCCATTGCATTTGCTTTTATGCATCCATTGCCCTTGTTTAATGAGAGTGCTTTTGCTTTATGACCTCTCTGGTACCCTTGTATGTACATCTTGACTGTCTTGTGGATAATTGAAATGGGCACATAATTGATCCGGTTTGATTTAAAAATTACTAGATTGGCTATGTATTTTTCCAGTGTGAGTAAAAAAATAAGTTATTATATTATATAAAGAAAAAGTGAAAAACAAGAGGGAAGTGGAAAAGTTTTTAAAAATTTAAAATTCTCCTCCCAAATATCCTCTCAAAACTTGATATGAGAGCATTCACCTCATCTTGACTCAAAGAAACCAGAGGTCTAAAATAAACATATCCAATTATCCATAATTGATAAACTTCAAGGGACTACATGTTTTGCAATTGCAATGATTGCTGGGTTGGAATCTCATCCTTTTTAGTCTTAGGCATATTCTGCCTGGTGCCATAATCATAGTTGTCAAACTCACGAGTGAACTCGCAAACTCGGACGAGTTTACGCTTTTGGTCACCCTTAACGTTCCCGTTTCACTGCAAACTCACTTTTGGCACTCAAACTGTAGAAGCGCCGTGTTTTTTGGCAAACTCGTAAACTCTTACGGGTTTAACGATTTCAAGGAAATGGAGAAAAACCCATGGACCCGAAAATTTGACCCGAAACCCATCGTACAAATGGGGTTTTTTTAACACAAAAAACTCGAATACCTGATTTCAGCCGCCACCTCCTTGCTCAGTGAGAGACGACGTCGCGTGACTCCTGCTCCACCGTCTTCTCCATCGTGCTTCGTTGTTGTCCTTCCGCTTCTCTGCTTTCTTCTCTTCCAATTTCTACATGGAGGGCTCTGCTGAGGATTTGGGAGCCCCGGAGTCATGCGAGGTGGCTGATTTGGATGAGTCCATGAAGCGCTTGAACCTAATGGTCTCCTCTAACAAAGATTCTCAGCATCGCAAGCATGCTGATGATGCTCTACCACCACTTGAATCTCTTCTCTGCTTTGTTTCGTTTCTTTTTATTTTTGTGCCTCTGTTTCATTTTTTTTTTGTGCCTCTGTTTCTCGTTTCATTTATAATTTTTTTTTTCTCTCTAAAATATGTACAGTATATTGTTAGTAAGGAATCATGTTTTATTACTTTATTTAATTGTATTAATAATTATATGAAATTTGAATGTAAAATATTTTACACTTATAATACATAAAAGTTAAATTTAACATTATGTATATATATTAATTACTCATTTTTTATTTAAAAATCAATTGTGATATTAAAAGAAAACATATTTGATATTAAATTTTAAGTAAAAAAATTTAATATAACTAACATAACTATGAATATAGATTTTAAGTAAAACATATTTGATATTTTGTTTTGGATTTTGATCTTTTGTGCTATGACTTTGTGTTTGAGTCATTATGTGATTATGTGATTATGACTATTGTATCACATTATTTTGCTGGTTGGTTGAATTAAATTTGCTTATTATATTACTTTATATGCATGTAAATATATATAAATATAAATTGTATCTTGTGTTACGATTCTACGATCCGTGTTACGATTCTGCGATTTACGAATTTGGTTCACCCTTCCGAGTTTGCGTAGACTCTCGAGTTTGACAACCTTGACCATAATGGAATGTGGTCTAGAGGAAAATGCTGTAGCCATTTAACTGGCAAAGCAATATTTTTGGTCATCAATTTTTGTTATTTGATAAAAGAAGAATTTTCATTGAAAACGAGTACAAATAAGAAAAGGTCTCTCTAGTCCCTCCCTCTGCTTTTGTGCCAATGGGAGTCTTTCAGAATACCATAGACTGAGCACCATAGAGAGGCTATGCAATCAATAATGTCTTCCTTTCTCTGACATGGGCATTCTCTACAGTTAAAGGTCACAGAAAATAGTATATACCCTTTATGTATAATTCGTGTTGCTAATTGCTATATTGCTATAGGTTCACCAAGAGTTTTCCTTGAAGAATATCTTCTTTCGTTTGTAGTCCCCATATTTCTCTCAATTCTATAAATTTTTAATTTACTGTTGATAAAGCCATTTGATTAAAAAAAATTGTGCATTTCTGCTTACATTGCATTATATTACACAGAAATAAATAGTGCGTATTTAAAAATGTTTTTCTGCATTATAACTTGTGTGTACAGAAGGTCAACATAATGTGTTATAAACTTTTTTAAGTAGTGTGATTTTGGTTAGTCAAGCACATTTCTACTTGGTACTGTCATAGGATTCATTCCAGCGATTACTGCATAAACAAGATGGAACCAGAGCAGAATGGGAGTATCCATTTGCAGTAGCTGGAATCAATATTTCTTTTATGTTGGCACAGATGCTAGATCTTCAAGCAGGTAACGTGAATTAAATTCAGTGATTATAATGATGGTTGTTCTCTGCCTGAGTGCAAATAGTAAGATTGGTATCAAGCAATGATGAAAAAACCGCATCGGATTAGCTGATTTAACCGAATACCGGTGAACTGGTCAGGTGTCCAGTCCATATAACCAGAAAACCGATTGTGCAAAGAACCAATTGAGAACTGGCCAAACTAGTCCAAAATTGGTGGAGAACCAATCTTACCACATTGGAACCTTTTTTATTTTAATTAAGAAATTGGCTTATACAACACCATTTTGAGATTTTTTTAGGGATAACGTTGCTTTAAATATTATGTCATTTGGATTTATTTTTAGGTTTAATTTTCAAGGCTATGAACTAACGAATTTTATTTCTATTCTTGAACTTGTATATGTTGTGAGTTGTGATGTTACTTGACTATGAATGTTTATTGCATTATCAGTATATTAGCTTATTATTTAATATATTATATATAATTAAAAAATATATATATATATGGGATAGGATCAACTTACACCGGTGTAAGAATAATAAATCTTACATCAAATCTTAACCGTTGATTTCCGTGCATCCAATGGTTGAGATTTATTGGGAATTATAAATTAATTAACGAGTGAGACCTAATAAATCTTAACCGTCAGATGTAGAAAATCAATGATTAGGATTTGGTGTAAGATTTATTATTCTTACACCGGTGTAAGATGATCTTGCCCCTATATATATATATATATATATTTAATTATCATCAACCAAGAACCAGTGTCTTCACGAGTTCAAATGACTGGTTCGATTTTAAAAACATTGATACATAATCTTGAGTCTCTAAGTAGTTAAGCTGATTATGAAATCTTGTTTCACCATGCCACCCTCACAGATTTAATATTATTTTAGGGTTTTCCTTATTTTGAACTAAGTGTTGGTGTTTCTTGAGTACTCACCTCACATATATCATATGTAAATTCATCTGATGTTCCTTGCAGGGGTTCCATCTTCTTTACCAGGAATCCGTTTTCTACAACTGCTTGAGGAGGATGAAATGGCATTTGATAACCTTTATTGTGTTACCTTTCAAATGATGGATGCTCAGTGGCTAGCAAAGCGTGCTACTTATATGGAATTTAATGTAATATTTCATTAAATTGTATTTGCTCATTGCCTAATTATTGCTATTATTATCTCTGATAATCTTCTCATTCATTTGTAATTTTCTTTTTCATTAGGATGTTTTGAAGTCCACAAAAACGCAGTTAGAGCGTGAGCTTTCGCTTGATGACATCTCCAGTGTGAAAGATTTACCTGCTTACAACATGTTGAGATGATTTACGATGTCATCTAGTTTAACATTTCTCTCTCCCTTTTTTGGCAGAGAATGTTACATGAAATGTATCTAAAGCATTTGTCATTTTATCTCTAAATAGAAACATAAAAATCAAGTGAAAGTGTTAATTTCCAAATATCAGATTAGTGTTTCTGTTAATTTCCATCATTCCTTGTATTTAAGCGTATGTATTTGCATTTAGGAAATTGTTCAGAAAATTTCTGTTCTCAGCAATTACAAAAATTCAAGTCAATCATATCAACTATGACACCATGTGTGAGTAATAAGTTTCCCCATTTGAGAAATGAAAAATTGAAAATGATAAATATTTACTAAAATTTTCATAGCACTTTTATGCTAGTGATCTGCCTGTACATAGTGAATAGTGTGATTGGGAGATGATTGAGGGTATCAATTGATTGTCAATATTGGTAATTATTAAAGGGAAAAATAAATCTTATGTTGTAGGAGATTGTAATCTCATGTTATAGATATATCAAGTGTGGGATCCGTCTATTTAAAAAAAGAAAAAAACAAAAAATGAGTGGCACACTTTTTTATGGTGTGTGTAGGAAGATTTTGTTTTTTCATGTAACATGAGAAAAACAAATCCCATTATTAAATGCATAAAACACAGTGCAGTCTACCAAATATTTTTGGACATTGATTACATGTGTAAATAGCATGAGTCTGAGAAATTTCCTGGCTTGTAATTTAAGTTGGTAGCATAGGTTGAGTAAGTGGGAAGAAAATTTGAATTCAATTTTTAATAAATATATTTTTAGGGAAGAGCAAAGAGTTTTAACTGTGATTAAATTTTGATTCGAGATTAATTTTATAACTGGTTTAAAAAGTTGAAACATGTGAGAATATTTGGGGTCTGACTCTATAGTCGGTATATTAAAAAAATAAAAAATAACAATTACATACCAGTATCTGACGATCGTTTTACTTCTCTAAGCAGCATCCAATACTTGCATCTCAATTTGCAATATTTAATTCACACTAATTTTACAAAACTATTTTACTGGATAATGCATCTTTTCAGGTAGTTAATATGGTATTCTCGGTGTACTATATTTAAGATAAATTTTCAAACATTTAGTAATTGTTGATTTTACATAAATATTCAAAAAATCATTAAATATAATTAGCAAGTAATAAATAATTTACCACTCTCCCTTTATATTCATATCCTATAAAAAGGATACAAACCAGACGAATTCCTTTTTTTTTTTTATACACTATGTGTATCTTCTATGGGAAACAATCCTATTTGAAGCGAGTCTAAAATTAAGATTTTAAATCTTTCTCAAAGATGGTATTGGAAATGATCGAATATATATTCTCACCTTATCTGCTCAACTCTCATACACTAACTAAGCTACTATCATTTGATAATTCTCATGTTTTATATTGATGCCAATGTGATGTTTCTTCTTTCTTTAGTCATATTTATTGTCGTGTCAATTACCTTTTATTGGTGTTCTCTCGTCTTTTTTACCCTGAATTATTTGCTCATTCTTCCACTCCTTGTGTTGAAGAGTAACTACTAAGGGTCGTTTGAATGGGTTTGTTTTTTTTACAAAAGTTAAAGCATTTTAGATTTTTAAAAAAATATTTGACTTTTGATTTCTATTTTTTTTTAGAAACTAAAAATTGTAGCTGTAAAATTTTTTTTAACTTTTTTTGTGACTTATATATATATATATATATATATATATATATATATATATATATATTTTAAAGTAGATATCCAAATAGACTTTGTAGTGAGAAATATTTTTTTTGTAAAAAAAAAAACTTTTGAAGTGAAAAAATACATCCAAACATATGCACAATATATAATGATTTGGATTGGAATGAAAGTGGTTCCTTAATCTTTTCCTAACATATACATTTTTTTTGGGTAATAATTCCTAACATACGTTATGTGAGCGCTATCTTTCATTTTTTGCTCATTTTTGGCTATAAAGCCATAAAAAATGTTTAGAAAAATGAAAAGATTACAGAAATGAAAATAAAACGAATCCGAAATGACATTTTCATTATTGCTACATAGTAAGACGTAGATAGTATTTGTAGGGATTAACGTTTGTTATATTGATTGTAATAGACAATTTTATCTCTTACACAGACATAAAAATATGTGGGGCCTATATGTAATTATATGAAGAGAAAAAAGAGAAAATGAATGTCACATACAATTTTTATATATATAGAAGATAAACTTATTTTCGTGTTATAAGATTGATCAAAATTTAGGGAATGGAACGAAGAGTTATACTTCACTATTAAATTTTTTAATCATCTTAAGTAGGAAAGTGTGAGGCTAGATTCTACATAAATTATCTGGCTTTTTGATCTAGCCATTAATTAATAATTAATTATACTTTTGTCCCTATACCAAAACATATCACCCATCTACTTCTGTTTTACTGCTGACATAGTAAAATATTCGGGTACATAAAGGTTTATTTGAGTATAATTCGAATAAATAACACTACCCGAGCACCTAGGTGGGCTACCCGGGTATTGTTCATAATATCGGAATTACTATAAATTATTTATCGAGGTAGAGAGGGAGCTACCCAGGTAAATGCTGCAAGTGGGGTTTTTTAAAAACCCAATAGCCTCCATTTTCAAAACCCACAAAAGGGATACCCGGGTAGAGCTGCTGGGAAAGGCGAAATCAGTGATTCCTTCACCACTTTGGTTGTACATAGAACTTTCAGGTTCTCCCTCATCTTCGTTGTCCATATACTCCTCCTCACCCTCATCCAATGTTATCTGACTTAACACCTGAGCATGTGCAGAAAAACGTACAACTATATCTTCTTGACCAAAACACTGTGGAATGCTTGTATGCATCGGTAAAGATGAAGACTAACCAGTATCAACTTCAATATACATCTCAATTAATTTTAATACTTTCCAGTCAACAAATGCATATGTGACGAACTCCACATCTTCATCATAATTGATATCGTTAATTTTGGCCGACGAATACCCGAGTAACTGGGTGTGTACCCAGGTAAATAAATGCATACCTGGATATCTGGGTGGTCTATTAGGGTATAAACTCAAGTTACATAAGAACAGTTATATTCCCCGAAATATACCCGAGTAATTGGGTCACTACCTGGGTAGTTACATGGTCAACAATCAAACATGAATAAATTAATATTATGTTTGTTGAAAATGTTAAATTTTTGAAATAATTTATAACTGGGGGCAAGATGGTAATTTGTTATTAATTAAAGAATATAATAGTCAAAATTGTCTACTTTTTCAATTTCTGTCAAGACTATTCATTATGAAAACATATCAAATCAAGGAAAGAATTAATGATGCAACTTAAACATTGATAATTCCGATGCTTAAAAGGACAACTACTACTAAGTTGGTTGCTTGATGATTAACTCATTACAATTTAGGTGTGTTGACGATTACAACAAATAGATGCTTAGAAAGTAGATTCTTTCCCTGTCATATTTGTATTATTTTCTTGGTATGTTACAATAATGGACAGGGGGTGTGCCACCACTAATTGGAGAACATTTTTTTTTTTTGGATAACAGCAAGAGAACATTTTTAATACACTGGGATCATGTGGTCATTCCACTCAAGAAATAACATTTATCTTAAAAAAATATTTTTTTTCTCTTTACAAGACACACAATATATTCTTTTTGCGGTTTTGATTGGTTTGTTCTACTGGATAGGTAGTGATCCGGGTTTACAAAAAAATATTTTTCACTAATTGAGTACACCGGTATACTCTACTCGACTCGACTCCCATTAATTAGCGAGTTAGTTGAATTAAAACAGATTCTATTCTTTTTTTTTAATTAGGTAATTACTAATAACTTAAATCACTAATATTTAAAAATGCTTGATGCTTTCTTTCTGTGTTAGATATGCAAGTTGTGTGTGATGAGGTTTTGGCAGTAATCATTCATTATTTTAGTTGTTTGACATTCTAATGTTTTGCCTTAAATGAAACCCATGATTTTCCTTATTTGATTTTGTTTATTCTTGTTTTTATTTTTTATTTTATTATTACTTTATTTTATTTATTTAGTTGGTACTTTGAGGTTGGAACATAAATAATCAAATTCTTGATGTGGGGTTATTCAGCTTCTTTATGTTATCCAGTATTATCTTTAGAAGAAGTTTAAAATCTTAATACTAGATTCGTTCAAAACAAAATTATTTCCCGTAAAAAATACATGTGATTTATTAAAAAAAAAGAGTAACGGGCTGTGACTTTACAAATTACTGGACTATAGTTAAAATCAAACCTATGATTATTGGCAAACTTTTTAGGGAAATGATCAATTTACAATTTTTTTTTACAAATTACATTAAGTATGATCGATCATATTTTTTTGATTGAAGTATAACTGATCATACTTTGATCATACTTAATGTAATTTGTAAATAAAATATTTGTAAATATAATATTTTTCAACTTTTTAAGGCTTTAAGAATGTTTATTGCTTCTTCGCCAAAAATTAATATTGGGACGCTAACATTCAGCTTTCTGTGTTGTTATTATTTTTGGGAAAATCTCTGTAGTTATTACTTGTTCTGATAAATTCCGTGAAGAAATTAAATATACATTATTTTTATAAAAAAAAATAAAATAATATTTTAAACAAAAAAATATAAGAAAAATTAATAAATACGAAATTTGTACAATTATACTTGTTTAGCTCATGGAGAAATACAAACGAAGTATATTGCATATGTATGTTCAAATTCTAGACCTCACTTAGAAATTTAATGATCATGTTATATGCAAAAGTTGAAAATTTTTAGGGAAATATATTTATTATGTAATGTTATATGAAATAATTTTATTTCATACATATACAAAAAGTGAGCGAGATCAAATTTTTTTTCTCTTTTCTTCATGGAGATCCCCACTATTTTTTTGAAACATAAATTTTTTAACCATTAAGACTCTCACCACAAAGTAGTTATTAGTACATCATGAACAAGCAGCAATCCAAGGAGATGTTTTTCTCTTTCCTCTCGTGTGTTTTTTTATCTCAAACTACAACCACTTGTTTGTTTATGAAAGAAAAATCCCTCTGACAAAGCACTTACAAAACCGTAAGAAAATCAACGAAAAGCTTTAAAATGCTCAGTTTTTATTCTCTGTTTCTCTCATTGATAAGCATATCCTCCACATTGGACATGATTACTCCAAACCTGTTGGAGGATTACCAACCCAACAAAACCAACCCGTCAGAGATGGTAAGAATGAGGGTCTGGTTTCAAGAAATGAAGCCTTTGAAGCTGGATTCTTCAGCCCTGAAAATTCAAGTAGCCGTTACATTGGAATTTGGTACAAAAACATTTCTCCCACAACAGTTGTATGGGTGGTCAACAGAGAAACACCACTCAATTTAGGTATGTTTAATTTTTCCATTCTCTTGTAAAGCTTCCATGAAATTGTGATGTGTATTCCCTCAATGAAATTGTGAAGTGGATATAAAAGAATACACTCATGAACTCAATGTCTTAAGGTTTTAGGTTGAGATGTAGTATCAAATCCACTTGATATGATTGGCTTAGCTTAACCCATTAATGATAGTCTTCTGCCATGAACTTTTAGTGGACCCGCGTGACAAAATAGACAAAATAAGAAAAGTTACTTCTTATCTCATAATTACGTGTGGACGATAAAGTAATGTCCCTGAAACATAAAACCTCTCCAGGTGTGATATTATTAAGCCTTGATTGGAATATAGTATTGGAGTTAGATTCATACATTTCTTTCTAAGATTCGTCTTGCTCATAGGATGCATAAATTTCAGTGAAGTTATACAAAAGCAATCATGGTTATTGGTTAATATTGTAAGATTTCTATTTGATTGAGAAAGACAGTGTAAGGAAAATCTTTAATATATTTGTTTAGTATTTGTCCTTCTAAAAAACATAAATTTACATCATTTTAAATAAGAGAAAGATACAAACAATACAAATTATGAAAGAGAAAGTGAATGATTTTTTTTTTAAAATTTAAAATTTAAATAAAAATATTATATTGTGTTTTTCTCTTTCTTAAAATAATACAATTATATATCTTTTAAAATGACAAATATTTCTCTCTTAATTATAAATACTGAAATAGGGGAGAGGTCTCTGATTCTGTTAATAAAAATATAGTACGAGGATGGACTAATCCAAATTAATTATTTAACCTTACATAAAAAAAAAGTTATGCATGTAAAGAGTTAGAAAACTAATGGCTCTATTGTAGGTCTACGCATTTTTCTCAATTCATTTGTAAACAAAACTTTTATAGTTTATATTTGAGTTTCAATTTTCTCACGTGGTAGGAGAAAATTTTCTCATGCTGTAGACACATTTTATGTACAGCCCACATCTATTAAAAAAACAAAAAAGAAGAAGAAAATATTGCATGAAAATCGAAGGGTCACTAGTAGGAAAAAATAACTCTCCTATGACATAGAAAATATTTTCCCTTATATCTTATCTAAATTTAATTGTATTATATTGTAAACATAGAAGCGAAAAAAAATAAAAAAATAAAAGGATAGCCATTATGAGCATAGCTAATAGCGACCACCAGGAAGTAACATGAGAAGGAGAGGAATTGTCATTGGCTGGCGAAGAATGTGTGGTGGATAACAATTCCCCTTCTTCACACCTTCTTCAACAATGACACATTCTCTTCTTCTTAGGTTACTTCGTGTGGTTGCTATGAGATCTCATACTTTTTGGAGGGATTGTAACTTGTATGCCATAGATTTCTGAGAGTTAAGGATAATCAATTATAAAGGTGATTTTCAAACTGCGTGGTAAATATATACACGTTGTATATTAACTTGGCGATACTAAACCATTCATTAACAAATATATTATCACTTCATATAAAAAATAGTTACATTAATTGTTGTACAACACAATAATACGTTAGTTATTAATTAATTTAACCCAGCTTATATGAATATTATTTATACAAGTATGATAGGAATATACTCATGTAGGTGTATGTAAGGTAGGTAGTAGGAGATTATATTTTACAACTAATTTTAGAATATTTTAGGAGGTTAAACTTAGTAATTTAATTTGAAGAAAAGATAAATATGAAAAGAAAAGATAAAGACATAAAGTCCAATAATTTAATTTGAAGATTCAAGATTAATGAATAACCATATTATAGCTATCAATCAACCTCTTGGCTGGATAACAAAAGCAAAACAAAAGATAACAATAAATAGGAAGGGCCTGAAACTAATTATCTGATGTAATTGTTTCATGATGATCAGGGTCCTTTTCAGACCAAATGTTTATACGATTTCGGGCTTTAGTCACCTGCACAGTCACATAATGATTTCATCAAGTTTTTGATATAATTATAATTTACTTTAAAGTGAATCTAGTAATTATTGAACTATTAGTCCTACCTGATCGTCCCAATTAGTTTTGCAGGTGATTATTATTAGCACTATAGTTTGAATAAGTGTTCCAAACAACATTCCAATCCAGATACCCTGCAGAAAAATAAACAAGTTTGTCAAATGCATGAAACAGCAATCAGGTGCAATTTGAACATGAGATAAGAGTACTTTAAAAGCATACCTTGACTTGCCAATTGATAACGTTACCAAGTACAACACCTACAGGAATACCAATGATGTAATAACACCCAATGTTCACATATGCTACAATGCTTTGCCAGCCTGCTCCAATAGCCACTCCTGTTGAAATCATAAAATTTCATGTCTTCCATACTCTTTCAAAATATTTATATATCTATATATAGAGAGGCAGATTATTATACTAATGTAAGAATAAGAAGTCTTATTATCAAATCTCAGTCAATAATTTGCTTTCATCTCACTCTATATATATATATATATATATATATATATATATATATATATATATACAAGTAAGTCCAACATTTAGTGATTTTATTTTTTGTCCATTTCGTTCATTTTTGGGTATAACTGTTGTAAGTATACACCATTGATGGATTGATTTGCTTTTGTCATGTAAAAAAAATCAGGATTCAAATGTTACACAAATTAGTTAAACCAACTCAAAGAGAAGAAATGTCGTAAAGAATACCTGAGAGTACAGGTTGAACACTGTTTAGTAGTATAGAGACTGCCAACAAAGGTGACAAATCCCCAACAGCAACAGCCACGTCTTCATTCGAGGTAAATATATAAGCAAGTCTTTCCCTAAAAATTAAGAAAAACAAAAACAGAAGGAACCCAATGGAGAGTGATGTAAGAACTGTCATAACAATAGAGAGCTTTGCTGCTTTGGAGTTTCCTTTTCCAAGTTCATTTGCCACTCGAACACTGCACATTAAGAAAGATAATGAAGTAAATTTTCCATGGTAAACGAACTGCAGAAGAAAAATTGGTAGGTTGATATAAGTGTGTGTGATTTATAGCTGCTATTTTGTATATGATGCAAAAAACAATGACTACAACAATAGAAATTAAAATAATGCCATTACCTTGCTGCAGCCATGAAACCAAGTGATATCATCATTTCCCATCCATTGATGTTCAGACTGTTAAGAATGAAATTTGATCTTAAGCAGGCCAAGATAAAAGTCTATTAAACATTATGCGAATACAACCAACAATATAAAGTGGACACACACTATATAATGGGAAAACCTCAGCGCACCCTGACTTGAGAGGATAAGGGTGAGGGTCATCTGGGTGAGGGTCAATTGCCTTTGCATTTTAGCAAAGAAACAATTTCACAGACTTGAACTCATGACTTTCTGATCACAAGGAATAACCTTATCGTTGCTCCAAGGCTCGGCCTTGAAACACAATATGTTGTAAATATTGGTTATTTAATTATTACTATTTGTTGTATTGGGCCAAGCCCATTAGGTCAAGTATTATGATTTTCATTCTCTATAAATAGAGACCCCTTTGTATAGATTATTTACACAATTAATAATATTTTTCTGATTACTCTTTTCAAGTTGGTATCAGAGCTCTCGATCTTGAGAGCTCTGCTTCTGCGCCTATTGTCTTTTTTTTTTATAAAACCTTAATTTCTCTGCCTCTTGCTGCCATCAGCCGCCACCGGAAAATTTTTCCGGGGACCTTTTGGACCAAGGGGACCACTGTTGACCTTATTTTTCTTCGTTCTATCATTCTGCGCCCCGTTCCTCAGCCACAGACGACCCAAACACCTCTGACCGTCTCCAATCAGATCTGTCTTCACCGTTTGGACCTCTTTCCGACTACTTTTCAACCTCGACCACCCACAGACAAGTGCGCGCTCACTGGACGACCACGCTGGAAAAATCTCAGCCGCATAAGACCCTCCACGCGCTCTCACGCGCCGCCTCAGTCTCCGCGAGTGAAGCCCACACGCAGCTCCTTTCTCCGGCGCGTGGAGGCGCGTACGGTGGTGTTTTTGGACTGGACCACCGCCATTCTTCTCGTCTTCTTGTCCTCTTTCTGGATCTGTGCTTTCCTCTCAGATCGGACGTCGTTTGGTATTTGTTTGTGATTTTTGGCTTCTTGGTGTTATCCTTTGACCATTTTTGTGCAGTATGGCCTCTTCTCAAAGGAGTTCCTTTACAAAATTTTTTGATGGTGCATCATCTAGACCTAAGAGAGATGATCGATGATGTTCTTATTGCAAAAGAACAGGTAATATCAAGGATCCATGCTTTCGCCTCCATGGAAAGCAAACTGTCTTAGAAAAGATGGCTAGGATGCGTGGTCAACCGCATTTTACTTCCTCTAAAATAACTTCTGCACCTAATGAGACCCAACCTGCATTTCGTCCAGATGAGTTGGAACGGCTCCGAATCATCCTTGATTCTCTGAGTAAACCATCTGATACTAGTGCTTTGATTATGACTGGTATGAGCTCCAAAACTTATTCTTTCCTTTCTTCATGTAATGATTTTAAACATTCTTAGGTTGTTGATTCTGGTGCTACTGATCATATGTCTTGTTGTGCTGACTCCTTTACTTCTTATCATTCTACCATTGGAACTCATACAATAGCCGTAGCTGATGGCTCACATACATCAGTTGCGGGTTCTGGTGACATAAACTTACAGCAGTCCTTACATCTTAAAGATGCTCTTCATGTTCCTAAACTCTCCACGAATCTTCTTTCTATTCATAAAATTACAAAAGATTTGAATTGTACTGTAACCTTCTTCCCTTCCCATTGTGTTTTTCAGGATCTCCCACGGGAAAGACGATTGGTAGTGCTAAAGAGAAAGGTGGGCTGTACTATCTGGTGTCACAATCTCCCGCAAATAAAGTAACATATCACATCTTGATGTCTCATGGTCAATCAATTGTTGATTCTTTGATTTGGCTTTATCATAAGCGCTTGGGACATCTTCCATTTAGTTTACTCAAGTCTTTATTTCCGACATTGTTTTTGTCTAAATCTGTTGAGTCTTTTCATTGTGATGTTTGTGAATTTGCTAAGCATCATCGTGTGTCTTTTCCTTCTAGTATTACTAAGAGTGTTGAACCTTTTGATCTTATTCATTCTGATGTTTGGGGTCCTTCTAAAGTCCCTCATGCTTCTGGAAATAGATGGTTTGTTTCTTTTATTGATGATTGCACTCGTGTAACTTGGGTTTACTTAATGCGTGAAAAGTCTAAGGTATCACAACTGTTCTTTCAATTTTATAAAATGGTTGAGACCCAATTTGGTAAAAAAATCAAGAGACTAAGAACAGATAATGGTACTGAATATGTTAATCACAGTTTTTCCCAATTTATACAAAATAACGGTATGATTCATGAACTTACTTGTGTTGACACCCCCAACAGAATGGGGTTGCTCAAATAAAAAATCGTCACCTTCTTGAAGTGGCTCGTGCATTAATGTTTCAAACACATGTACCCAAATACTATTGGGGAGATGCTATTCTTACTGCATCATTCTTGATCATCCGTTTACCCACTCGGGTACTTGACCATGTAAGTCCTATTCACTCTATGACTTCTTTTTTCCCTTCTATTCCAACTATGAGTCTTCCTCCACGAGTGTTTGGGTGTGTTGCTTTTGTTCATATTCATAAACATCATCGCAGTAAGTTGGACCCTAGGGCTATTAAATGTGCTTTTCTTGGTTATGTTCCTGATAAGAAGGGCTACAAGTGCTATCACCCTGGTAGTAGGGAATTTTTTGTTTCTATGGATATTACTTTTCAGGAATCTGAGTCCTTTTTCCAAGGTCCTCATCTTCAGGAGGAGAATCCTTCACCAGAAAACTCATCACCTCCCTTCTTTGAGTTTGAATCTTCAATGTCTACTCCTTTACCTGTGTCCATGTATCCTCCTCTTGTTCCTGTTCCTCCTGTGTCTGATCCTCCTGTGAGTGATCCTCATGTGACTGATTCTCCTGTGATTGATACATCAAGTACACCAGAGATACGAAAGATTATGACACTTGAGTTGGTATATCAAAGAAGGAAACAACCCACATTGCCTCAGCAGCAACCTCAATCGTCTGAACCACTGGTAAGTCCTGAATCTCATATTTCTGATCATGATGTTAATACTTCTGATGACTTACCCATTACTACTGATTCTGATGATTTACCCATTGCTCTTAGAAAAGGAAAAAGATCTTGTCCCAAGAAATCTTGTTCCTCCTGTCCCTCTTGTACTCAATACCCTATCTCCCATTTTGTTTCCTCTGCTAATCTTTTTGTGCAGCACAAAAGCTTTGTTTCAGCACTAGACTCTATTGCAATCCCAAAATCAGTACACGAAGCCTTGAAAGATGGGAATTGGGCTCAAGCCATGCAAGAGGAAATGAATACGTTGGAGAAAAATAAAACATGGGAGGTTATTGATAGACCTAATGGAAAGAAAGCAGTAGGGTGCAGATGGGTTTATGCCCTGAAATATAATTCTGATGGAACTCTTGAGAGATACAAGGCTCGATTAGTTGCCAAAGGTTACACTCAAACCTATGGCATTGATTATGAAGAAACATTTGCTCCAGTTGCCAAGATGAATACGGCGAGAGTCTTGTTATCCCTTGCTGCCCATTACAATTGGGATATAAATCAATTTGATGTGAAAAGTGTTTTCCTCAATGGTGAGTTAGAAGAAGAAGTCTACATGAAAATCCCGCCTGGTTTTGATTCTGTGAAGGGAGAAAATAAAGTTTGTAGATTAAAAAAGGCCTTGTATGGATTGAAGCAGTCACCTCGTGCCTGGTTTGGAAGGTTTACTAAGGTTATGATGACCTTAGGATACAGACAGAGTCAAGGAGATCACACTCTTTTCTTCAAGCACTCCCATAATGGGAAGCTTACTGTGCTCCTTGTATATGTTGATAATATTATTATCACATGTGATGATTTTGTGGAGAAACAGATTCTGCAAACACGGCTTGCCTCTGAGTTGAAGTCAAAGACCTTGGGAAACTGAGATATTTCCTAGGGATAGAAGTAGCTCATTCAAGGAAAGGAATTTTTATCAGTCAGGGGAAATATGTTCTTGATCTTCTCAAAGAAGCAGGAAAGCTCGGGTGTAAACCCTTTAATACTCCTATTGAGCAGAATCACAAGATAGGCTATGAAGAGGAGAGTCCTCCAGTTGATAAAGGACAATATCAACGGCTAGTTGGAAAATTGATATATCTGGCTCATACTAGACCAGACCTAGCTTATGTTGTTAGTGTTGTCAGTCAGTTTATGCATGATCCAAAGGAGAAACACATGCAGGCAGTAGAGAGAATTCTTCAGTATCTTAAAGCTACTCTTGGTAAAGGATTGTTATTCCGACGTGATGGCAATCTCTCTTTAGAAGTTTACACTGATGCTGATTATGCTGGATCCGTGACTGACCGTCGTTCTACCACTGGTTACTACATGTTTCTTTGCGATAACTTGGTGACATGGAGAAGTAAGAAACAAGATGTGGTCGCCAGATCAAGTGTAAAAGCTGAATTTCGAGCTATGGCTCAAGGCATTTGTGAGTTATTGTGGCTGAAAATTGTACTTGATGATCTCAAAATAAAATATGAGGGACCTATGAAGCTGCTATGTGATAATAAGTTCGCTATTTGTATAGCTCATAATCTAGTTCAACATGATCGGACTAAACATATTGAGGTTGACCGTCATTTCATCAAAGAGAAACTTGATAGTGGGCTGATTACCACTCCATACATTCCCACTGGACGTCAATTGGCTGATCTATTAACAAAGGGACTTCCTTCAGACAGATTTCAAGAACTTACTAGCAAGCTGAGAATTATTAATATCTATTCCTCAGCTTGAGGGGGAGTGTTATAAATATTGGTTATTTAATTATTATTATTTGTTGTATGGGGCCAAGCCCATTAGGTCAAGTATTAGGGTTTTCATCCTCGCTAAATAGAGACCTCTTTGTATAGATTATTTACACAATTAATAATATTTTTCTGATTACCCTTTTCAAGTCAATATATGAATTCTAAAAATGAAATGTGACAATGCAGAAGGATTACCATATAGATAGAGCATCAATTTGAACCTCTGCATTTTCCATGTTGCCTGTTAAAAGAACCAATATTGTGTTGTACCACAGCTCAAGACTGTAAATCAAACATACATTTCAGTTAAGAAGACATACATCTGTTTATGAACATTTTTTGTTTGAGATAAATAACAGAACATAAATCTAGATAATCAAAACATTTTCTTTTAAACCAATCAAAGAGAAAATCCAAATTTATTTAGCAATCATAGCATTTCTTAAAAACTCAATCCACTAGTTGACTGAGTAGAAAGCTCACCACAACATGACACCAGATGAAAGGGAAAGCCTGACAACAGGCCAAAGATCTTTGAACGCTAAAAATGAGAAACCTTTCCATGTTTCATGGCACCAACCACATGTAATAAATATAATTTGACCAATGTTGGGAATCCAGTATGCCAAAATTGTTGAAATCATTACACCAGCAATCCCAATCTTCAATTTTATTGTCAAAAGCCACGAGAGGAATACATGAATAATTATTGAGAAAGCTGCCAAAAATGAAATAATGATGTTCTTGCTTTGAGATTCCAAGAACATCTGGCAAGTGAATGACCAAATAAATGCAAACAGGACAGGAATTGACCAAAGAGAAAGTGTTCCTGCCACTTGTGCTATGCTTTCTTCTTGGCCTAAGATCGTCAAAATTGGGCTTGTGAAGATGAACAAGGGAAGAAGGAGGAGTGCAGTCGAGAACAAAACTATCCATGATCTTTGAAGATACACTCCCATCATGCCATATTCTTTTGCACCATAAGCTTGTCCACAAAGTGTTGCCAATGCACTTGCCATTCCTAACTAGAGTTGTCAGTTTACAGACACAAATAATTTGGGTTATTATCATAGCATTATATTGTAATTACTTTTTCATTGAATAAATTGTATTTGTAGTCATATGTATGTGAAGTATGTATGCATATATGTGTATATGTATGAAAGCTACACGCCTCCACAAAGTAACATAATTTTCAATATTGTGATAGCATATATGTTTAGAAGCCTCAACTTTTTAATCTACTGTAATCCCATAACAATCTTTGATGTATTTGTTTTCCTTACAACCCCAGATACAAGCCAACCAAAAAAATAATAATAAAAAAGGTCTGGTAATCTTTACTTCATTCATGAAAGATACAGAACAGGTGTCTCTATTTCATTGAGTCATTGTACAGAATATCTAGTTTAAAAGAGAATTAAAAGGTTAATTTTTTTTAAAGATCTTATACTTTCACCGATTTTTTTCAATAAGTCCATGTAAATTAAGTTTTTAACTGTTTCCTATATTTCTAAAAAGATTTAAATAAGTTTCTCTTTAGCTAAGGACCCTTTAGAATCTTTTGATAGATGTTAACCATTCTGTGCAAGTCATTTTGTATGAAGGTTTATAGAAATCTATAATTTAATGGTTAATTACCTAATTGATCTATAAAAAAATTTCATTTAAATTATAGAACAAGTAACTTAACCTTTGAAAAATAGCAAAATAAAATATGAGTAAGGCTGATGATTGACACACAAAACACAACAGAAACATGTTGTGGCGATTACACTTTTGGAAATCTATTACAATGTAAGAAAAATTGTTAACATATAAAAAGATGGGAAATTTTTTGTGAGAAACATACCAGAATACCATTGACAAATCGCATGAGAACAGTAAATACAAGAGAAAAAGCAGCGAGTTCTCTTGAGCCAATATGACCAACAAATGCCTGACTGATAACATAGATACCAAAGGTTGAGAATCTAGCGAATATGGCTGGTGCTGCTACTATCCACATCAACTTGCTCTCTTCCCACACCCTCTTCACCAATGATAACTTCTCTTCTTCTTCTTGTGATGTTTCCTCTGTGCTCAGCAGTTTCTGCAGAGGATCTCCCTCCATCTTGGAATGTATGGTCTATGGGGAACTGCAAGCTAGAGAAGGGAGTGTCGGCTTGCCTTATTCATCAGTGATTGATAGCTTATATTTATAAAAAAAAAAATTATAAATTATACTATGTATTTAGGAATATATTCTTACGAGTATAGTTTTTGAAGTATATAATATAGTTTGTATATAAAAAATTTATAAATATAATTTTTCTGTATTTTTTATGATTATTATTTCTATAGAATGTAAGGCTTATTGTAATACAACTTTGTCTGTTGCAAGTCCCGGACCAATGCGGGCTTATACACAAGGATGTTTTGTAGAGTAGAAAATTCTTTTTATCCAAAAATTACTATTCTTAGTAATATGGTGAGAAATTTATTTTTTCGAAAATGTTACAGAAAAATTGTTTAGTTGACTAAAATATTCTCAAGAATGTTGAATTAATTTTTTTGATGTTATATTTAGTTGATTGTAAAATATTATTAAAAATGTGTTAAATTTATCCAAAAATCATGATTCTTGTGAGAAATTGACTTTTTCAAAAATATTACAAAAAAATAGTTTGATAGGTTAAAATATTTTCAAAAATATTGCATCAATTTTCTTGATATTATATTTGGTTAATTGTAAAATATTATTAGAAATATATTAAATTTTTCATTTTTTTGAAAATGCTCTAGGTGATATTTTTGGTTAAAGTTTGCTCACAAAACAAAATTATCAGAAAATTACATTCCCGGAAAATTTTAAAAAAAAAAATCTCTATTAAATATGGGTAACTTAAATTACCATCATCAATTTTGGAGAAATCTAAACAAAATCTTTTACCAAACATCCCCGAAGAGAATGATGAGAATGAAGCTCAAGATAAAATATAGCTTTTTGGAAACACGATAGTAGCTGTCGTTGTTGTGGTCCCAGCTTAAGAAGATGGCCATAGGCCATTAAGTGGCCACTGCATGGCCAAAGGACAGAAATTGTTGGCGAAATGTTGAAGTACTAAAGAGTTGTATCAGAGTAATTATGTTGAAATTGAATGGTATAACTTCTCACCTACTATAGATTAAACCTTTTATGGTACATTTTGCTATATTTGTACATGAGATGGGATATTTTTATTATTAATTTATTACTAATTTTGCTATATTGGTACATTTTACTATTAAATATTTCTATTATTAATTTATTATAAATTTTCAATCGTTGGATCCTATTTTTTAATTGACAATCTCTAAAAAGTTTCTTTAGAGAGAAAAAATAAAGAGCTTTTGATATACTATAGATAATACAGAGTTATATTAGATTGGAAATAAATTGGTGGTAGAAATATTTGATAGTAAAAATATTTTATCTTTGCATAAAATATTTTATTTTTTCAGTGCATAAAGAACAGTGGTGACGTGTATGAGCTCTATACATGATTTTTTTTTTTTTTTTTTTTTGTAATGGAGATCGCAAAGGAAGTTCAGTAGTTTGCAGAAATAATGAAAAAAGCAAAGAAAAATAAGTAGAATATATCACGGAATTTAAAGTAACGTATTTTATATATGATAGTTTTATCAATTGAGCTCTTTCAAGAAAATAATAATCTTTAGTATAATGTTTTACATACAACGTAATAAAGATTGCAAAAAGGCCTTATATGTTTTGAATAAAATGAATTGCTTGTGATAAATAAATTTTCTAAATCATTGCTTACGAAGGGAAATAAAATCAAAAGGTTTTGATTGGGTGGTTGGTATGCTCATACGTGGATACTTGAGAACCTACAACTTCATCTAGCTTTTGATGAGAAAAAGTTAAAATGACGCTTTTTCCCTATGGTATCCCAAGGCTGGATGTAACATGCGAACATGTGAATTTTGATTCAAAGAAACTTAAAATGTTATGTCGACTTCAGTTTATAAGTTCGGTTGAGTTTAAAAGTAATGGCATTTCTCCGATCGTCGTAGTTATTTGTTCCTCTAAACCGCCAAGAAAATCTTGAGGTTGCATTTTAGATTTGGAAAATGCCTTGCAAGTTGTTATGGACCATATATTAGGTTCATACTCTGTAAAATTCAAGACTAATGGAGAGAGGAAACTAAGACAACTACAGGAAAAAATTAATCTAAGATATTAATCCTAATATGACAGCAGTGAATCTAGATATGGGTCTTCAGAGGAGGCACCAAAAGTATAGAATTTCACTACCCACGGGTAAATTCTATAAATAAGAGGTAAAACATATAGGTATAGACACATATCATCTCTTTATTATTATGTTATCACTGTGCACACATACATCACCTCTTTCACTAACGCTATTATTATCAGAGTGCACAGTGATCTGCTACACTCAAGGGTATCTAATCCATAGATATCTGAGAGAGCCTCTAGATCCAAGATCAACTTACTAGTCTCTTGACTAGACATTTTTATCAATATGACAGAACATTGGCACTATCTGTGGGGAATCTAATAAATTCTTATTCCCAACGACTAAATATGGTGAATACCAGAAGTAACAGCTACCCGTCATCGCCGACAAATCCTGTTTTGATGGAAGTGGGTCATCAGGCTTGGCATTGCCGAAATTGGTGCCTTATTTCTCAATGACAGAATTGGCATTGTCGAAATAAGTCAAAATAACAACAAATGGGCAAAGTTCAAACAAGAAAACTAAATTGATAGTGCAGCCAATAGCAGGCAATGAAGACATGGATACTCGGCCAGGTCAAGATAGAGCGCAATTACCAAATCCGGATCCTAAGGCCAATCTCACGGTAGCAGATAAGATATAATATGCACCTTGGTAGCCCGGACACCAGACTATCGGGTTAAGGGGCAACTGTTATGAACCCATATAAGAGGTCCATACTCTGTAAAGCCCAAGAAAAGGCAATAGAAAGAAGAAACTAAGACAACTAAAGGAAATAATCAATCTAGGATACTAATCCTAATACGACAGCAATGATCTTGGACATGAGCCTTTAGAGAGGCATCAAAGGTCTATAATTTCATTATCCACAGACAAATCCTATAAATAAGAGGTACAAACTACATGTATAGACACAAATTCTCTCTATTATTATGATGTCACTGTGCACACACACACACACACACACACACACCACCCCATTGGATAACGCCGTTATTATTAGTGCACAGTGATCTGCTACACTCAAAGATATTTAATCCATAGATATTTGAGAGAGCCTCTATATCCAAAATCAACTTACTAATCTCTTGACTAGATATCTCTGTCCTTAGGATAGAACATAAGTTTTTAAATTAAAAATCAATTAAAGCATTTGTCTGAGTAAAGTATATTTATTATGAGTATCTTAGTGAAATTAAGAAGTTTTGACACAAATTAGATCTTCACATGCTTTGATGCAGCTGAACTTAGAGGCCTTGAGAGTCATGCAAAGTTTAAGAAATATTTTGAGGAGAGAATTTGGGATCGCAATGCGGGAAATCCGTCCCGACTTATCCCGATTCATCTCTAATTTGCCAAGAAAATGGGCTAACCTAATTGTTCCATTTATGAAAGTGGTTAAAAATCTCAATCCATTCCATTTTATTAATAGTTGGCAAGTCAAGACACCTATAATTCAAAAATAATGAAGAAATTGGAAAGGAGTGTGGGAGATTAAGTCGACTAAAGTTGAGAAGAAAAGTGAAATGTTTTACCGAAATTATGTAATTAAACCCTGATTAAAAAATAAAACTTAACCCATCAAGCCAACCCGCCTCGACCTATTTTAACCCACCTTAAGTGCTAGGTTGGCAGGTTTGAACATGAAACTTAACCTGACAATTAGGTGGCTTGGGCGAGTTAACCTAATAGGTGATACAAGTTTTACCAACTCTAGATAGAATCTAAGACTTCTTGATTTGACTCAATTGCAATCTTGTCGAGGTTCAAGCCTGAGTTCTGGAGCAATGTGCATTGCCCTCCCTTGATGATTTCTTTGCTAAAGTTCAAAGAGAAGCTAGCCATAAAAAAATTGGAGAAAAATAATTCGTTGATATGAAGAAGGGAGATGTGATTTATCACCTTGATTGTTAAAGGCCCTCTAATAGAGATTAGCAACGAGATTGTCAACTTTAATGCACTCATTGAAACAAGACCCTGTGAGACATTTTGTGAGATCCATGGCTACTGGACAAATTGGAAACCTAATGGAATGAATAAAGGTTATGGATATCATGCCTCCATCGAGGACAAAGCTAAGGATAGCAAAGTTGCAGGTGATGTTGGTGTAGTCTTTCTCACTAAAGCTAAGTATGAACAGCTTCAGAGGCTTTTGAGTAATTCTACTTTGTCCTTAACGTAGTGTGGCAACTAGCAATGTGCGCCTAACATGGTATTAGGTGGAGTCAGGGGGAGATAAAAACCCAAATGAATCAAATTGAATTGTCAATTAATCTAATCCGCACCAAGAGTGTTGGGTATGACTTATACTTCGCATTCAGATGAAGACCCTTGTTGGCAGTCACCAAAAAGCCAATTGATACTGTTGTGGATCTCTGACTTATTGTATTTTTATTTTCTTAGTAATTTGGGCTTGAGCCCATGAATAGCTGCTGTTAGGGTTTCTAAATCCTATTTATATTTCTCTTGTAAATTCACGAGTAATTTGTAATGAATGTCAATGAGAAAAATATAATGCAGACAATCTGGACGTAGCCTACATTGGGTGCAACAGGATAAATCATTGTGTCAATTTATTTTCCTTTTTTTTTTCAAATCACGACTGTGTGTGTGTATGATTGGGTCGATTCCAACAAAGGAAACCACATTTTTTGGAATTGATTCAAGAACCAAACCATTTTCATCAAACTGGTCAATTCAAGAATCGAACCACTTTACCAATTCTGTTTGGTTTGGGCTAAAAATCTAACTGAACCATACCTACTCTTGTGAGTGTGAAAAAATCAAGTGAACTATGTGCATTCCTAACAAACACTAGGAAACAAATATTAGCAAAATAAATTGTTGGTGTATAGTGGGAGGAAGCCGCCTCAAGGTGTAAATAATCATGAACCTCTACACTACCAGGA